TGCATCTATATATATATATATATATCAATCATACACTCATATATACCCAAACAAACGCTTTAAAAAATGTTAGCCTTGCTTTATTGCTTTGAGGTTTCCGTCCAGCTTCTAGTGTGATATTGTCTATACATAACAGATAAAACACATCGTTTGTGACACATAAAGAAAGCTACTAGAGCATTTTGTAAGCTTAGTACATAGCATCCTATAGTGTCACCCCTACGGACAAAACATCAAGCACAAGGGGACCAGGGGAATAGTGTTTCCGCAGCCAGTGACAAAAAGAAGGGAAAATAACATTTGCCAGCAGTAAAATAATAGACCTTCCCAGGTAATCATGACACTTTGGCTTGTCTGTGCAATTAGGCTTAAACCAACAAGCATGTGTAGCCCTGGCTGACACGGAATGCCTGTGCCTGGGCTAAATAATAACCAGAGCTATGCACTTTCTGATGGTCAAGTGATCAAACAGCAGCGAGTTTCATTCTCCAGCACAGGAGTATTGTCCATTTGAACCTTCATCACCCCTCCAGTGACTGGTCATCCATTCTTTCTACACTCCACTATTGCAGGCTAGTCTGCCTGCCTATGTGTACATGAAGGCAGATCGGCGCATAAGTATGCATCAGCATTGATTTCCTTATTATTAATATTATTGTTTCTTTTGAACCTTCATCACCCCTCCAGTGACTGGTCACCCATTCTCTTTACACTTCACTAACTGATCTGCCTGCCTATGTATACGAGGTTATCTGTGCATAAGTATGCATCAGCATTGACTTTCTTATATAATATTATTATTTCTTTTGAACCTTCATCACCCCTCCAGTAACTGGTCAACTGGTGAGCCATCCTCTGTATATTCTTTAACTACTCTGCCTGTCTATGTATTTACGAGGGTATCTGTGCATAAGTATGCATCACATTGACTTTCTTATATAATGTTATTTCTTTTGAACCTTCATCACCCCTCCAGTGACTGGTCACCCATTCTCTTTACACTTCACTAACTGGACTGCCTGCCTATGTACATATGAGGGTATCTGTGCATAAGTATGCATCAGCATTGACTTTCTTATATCATATTATTATTTATATTGAACCTTCATCACCCCTCCAGTGACATCTACTCTCTATACACTCCACTACTGCAGACTGATCTGCCTGCCTACGTATATATGAGGGTACCTGTGCATAAGTATGCATCAGCATTGACTTCCTTATATAATAGTATTATTTATTTTGAACTTTCATCAGTGACATCCATTCTCTGTACACTCCACTACTGCAGACTGATCTGCCTGCCCATACATATGAGGGTAGATCTTTGACTTTATTATATTATATTATTATTTATTTTGAACTTTCATCAGTGACATCCATTCTCTGTACACTCCACTACTGCAGGCTGATCTGGCTGCCCATATATATGAGGGTAGATCTGTGACTTTCTTATATTAAATGAATACTATTTCTCTATTAGCACGTGAGGAACACGACTTCTTTCACCCACCCCAATACTTCCCAGCCAGAGTTGGGTGCAGCACCTCTGATCATTTTCTGCTCATGGCATGAACTTTCTGTACCGGGTCATTGCAGGACACCTCGCATATTGTCGCTATAATAGCAGCAGTGACTGCCCAGTGTCACTCGGGCCATCGTCTCGCTACAATGTAGAAATGTTGTAGGAAATGACAATTATTACACTGGGGAGGTGATTGCAACACCCAAAAAAAAGCACTTTAAATAGCGAATAAAATCCCAGGATTTTATTTACTTTTCATCACCCTTGTACAGGGAGGTTTTCTTTCTTTTTTTTAATAGATTTGTTTTTTCACCTTCCACAACCTTATTTTGTCTGGTTGAAAGAGCAAGTGCTGATGAAGGGAGCAGCTGGAGCGGACTGTCTCTAGGACCGGGCAATGCAGAGTTGCGAGCACCCTGTACCACTAGGCTGGCCTGACCAATAGGGAGCAAGGGGAGGGCTGGGAGTCCTGACCAGTTAAACACAATCTCTCGCCTTATAAGGAGCGGCGTCTCCATGGTAACGTGTGCTAAGTTGCAGCAGTGGTGTCAAAGTTCACTATATAGAGAGCTCAGTGAGCTGATCGGAGAGACACCACTCTGCCAGCCCTTTCCTACAAATTACATGATTCCAAGCTCCTGCCTTTTATTTGAAGGTTTATTCTGCATGAAGGATGTCCAGCAGGCTGTGAACTGCTCCTCTTTTTTTTGTATTATTATTATTGTTGTTATTATTATCTTGCTGGAGAGAGAGTGGACTCTTTTTCATGCACAGAGAAAGAAGAAGGAGAGGGATCTGAGCAAGTGGTTGCTGGAGAGGCTCCCCTACTGGCTGCCAGCGCTGGAGGAGAAGCAGGAGAGCAGGTCTCCCCCTGTAATCCTTAACCCTTCTTCGTCTGTCTTCATGGCTTTCCTGAATGGCTGACTGTGATGTTCCCAGGACCTGGCCCCCAGCACTAAGTCTGCACCTCAGCTCTACAGAGACACCTCCAAGTCTTCTCCTTCACCAGACCACTACACCCAGCATCACCACCACCAGCACCACCCTGATACTCCTCTGATTTTTGGCTTTTTCTTTTTTTCCTTTTTTTTTTTTTTTTTTTTTTTTTCAACCCCCCCTTTTTTTTCATATATTAAAGCTGCCTGATCCCACCAGCGAGCATAAGAAGAGGGGAAGAAGCAGATTGGAATCGGTTTCCCATAGATATGGCAATGGTAGTGGGTGCGTGGCGAGACCCTCAGGACGATGTGCCAGGAAGTCAACCTTCACAGCCACCTCCAGGGCAAGGGCCAGGGGGGGGACCGCACACTCCGCAGACTCCGGGGCAAGGAGTGCCCCCTACGACCCCTGTCCAGTCGAACCCGACCAGCCAGCCCAGCCAGAACCAAGGAGAGAAGCAGCAGCAGCAGCAGCACATAGAGTGCGTGGTGTGCGGGGACAAGTCTAGCGGCAAGCACTATGGCCAGTTCACTTGCGAAGGCTGCAAGAGCTTCTTCAAGCGAAGTGTAAGGAGAAACCTGAGTTACACTTGTCGTGCCAACAGGAACTGCCCTATAGACCAACACCACCGCAATCAGTGTCAGTACTGTCGCCTCAAAAAATGCCTCAAAGTTGGCATGAGACGGGAAGGTATTGGGTTTTCATTTGTTTTCCAGTCTTGCCTATTGTTCTAGATTCTTCCACCTCCTTTCCTCTCTCCCCCCTGTAACTTTCCCCTGCATGGCCGGGGCTCTCTAGACTTTGCTTTGCCTTTGACTCGCAGCCCTTCATCGCTCCCCAACTGTCATGATTAATCATCGGCTCTGCCAGTGCCTGAGTTGCAAAAAGAGGGAAGAAAAACAAAAAAAAAACGAACTGCTGGCTGTGCATGTGTGTGTGTGTGTGTGTGTGTGTGTGTGTCCCCTTGTGAAAGTCAAAGCCTTTTTTAATATAAATTTAGACAAGGACAGAGGGGCTGATAATGTGCAGAGCTGCCTGAGCAGCAAGCAAGCAGCAGGCTGTCTTCTGTATGCTAGGGGTTACAGCCTCCTTTGTGTTCCAGCTGCTCTGACTAACCCTATCCTGTCTACAATGTCACGCACATCTCCCCCCAAATGTGGCCAACTCCAAACAATACTTCCCAAATCCCTCCGTTTCCCCCCCCGAACAGACCAAACCTTCCCCTTCAACCTTCCCTGGCTTCCTGCATGCAATTGTGCTGAAATAAACACACACCGAGGCCTGCAACTGCTAGCAATTGTCTAGAGATCCAAGTCAGGGAGATTTCTGTCTTGTGTTTTTTTATTATTTTTTATTATTATTATAGTCATGCGTTTTTTTTTTTGTTTTTTTTTAACAGTCCTGTTTTTAAAATGTAAGAGGGCTTTGCAGGGCTTTTGTTTTTATAAAAAAAAAAAAGAAGCAAGCATAATTAAAATCAATCCGCAATATTATATGTGTAGATGGGAGAGGGAAACAGAAGGACATTATGAGCACATATGGGAGAATAAATTGGATATCTTCTTCTTTGGGATGTCAGCAGATTTTTTTTTTATTAAGCAAGCACAGCAGCGATATTTAAGCAATTGTGGAATGGCTTTCTTATGTGTTGTTGTAATTTAATCATAAAAAAGAAAAAACACACAACAACAGCACATAACAAATCTCAGCGCAGGGAAATAAGAATCAAAGTAACAGAAGCAGATTTGTTGTTTTTTTTATTATTATTATTATTTTTGTTTTATGTTGTGTGTTTTAGCTGTAATGCATAGAATAGAACGCTTGCATGACAAGAAGTGAAGTAAACCCCAGATAGATTTTAATTGTTGTAGTTTCTTCTTTATTTACTGCAGCCGTACAGAGGGGCAGAATGCCACCTACACAGCCTACCCATGGCCAATTCGCCTTGACAAATGGGGACCCTCTCAACTGCCATTCCTACCTATCCGGATATATATCTCTTCTCCTGAGAGCAGAACCCTACCCGACCTCTAGATTTGGCAGCCAATGCATGCAACCCAACAACATTATGGGCATCGAGAACATTTGTGAACTGGCAGCCAGGATGCTCTTCAGTGCCGTGGAATGGGCACGGAATATTCCCTTCTTCCCAGACTTGCAGATCACAGACCAAGTGGCACTGCTCAGGCTGACCTGGAGTGAGTTATTTGTTCTGAACGCTGCCCAGTGCTCAATGCCACTCCATGTTGCCCCTCTCCTGGCCGCTGCTGGTCTCCACGCTTCCCCCATGTCCGCGGACAGAGTGGTGGCCTTTATGGACCACATACGAATATTCCAGGAGCAAGTGGAGAAGCTCAAAGCATTACATGTGGACTCGGCTGAATATAGTTGTTTAAAAGCTATAGTTCTCTTCACTTCAGGTAAGACGAATGCTTATTAAGATCACATTTACATAAACAGCATGTGCTTTTTTTTATTGCTGTGTATTAAAATAAACAGGCACCCCCACATTGTCATAGACATGCACCCCACATCTCAGTGGTGACCTCCTTCTTAAACTGTAAATGTTCAAAGCACTACAATGAAGTCATATTAGTTGAATATCAGCAAGGCAGGCCATGACTTCCTAAACAAAGTGATGAGAGAGCATTCCCTGTATTTGTATTCTTCAATGATCCTAGACGACAGCATTGGAGATAAA